TTGAGCTTGGTCGGGGGGGGGGGGGGGGGGGGGGGAAATCATTGTTCACCACATCTCCCTTGAGCACTACCTAAGGGAGGGGAGTGATGACCAGACAGCGAAAATTAAGAAGAACGTGTCCCACCTTACGCCTATTCTGCCAATCTGTCGCGGTTGTTCTTCTAGCTCCATAGGTTTACATGATTTTTTTTTTCTAATTTTTTTTCTTTTTTTTTTTTTGCTGACAAGTAATACAAGACAGATTCTTGCCTTCTTAGGATCTTGCAATCTAGTTTAGACATAGCACGTCAAGTGGTGATGAAAGAAGGTTAGGGTGGGTTTGAAAAGATGAGGATTCCAACAGTAAACGATGCAGAGACATCAGTTTGGTAATGTACACATGTTTTGCATGATTCATTGGACCAAAATGGCCAAAGGAACTTAAAAAGCTGTCAAAGGCATCTTTACCTCTGACCTACCTAGTCATCCATCTGCTTCCTCATACTGTCAATCAAAACCCTCCCATCCTTATCACTATTCTATTACACACATTTTCCACAACCATTTCTCCTCCAGCTCTTAAAAAATATCTTAGCAAACATTTCAATCAGTCATTAAAAACCTTGTTAAAATATGCAATGTGTCATCAAATATGCATAGCGTACTTGTGCAAAATCTGCAGAGCGTAAATCACTGTATTACATTTGATATAGTATTAATGTGAAACATCATAGAAAGTATTACCAATAAGAACTTTGAATTACTTTCTACGGATCGGACCTTGATTTTGGGTTGTATCAAACAAAGCGAAGACAGGGCAACCGAACAGATTATTTTACACGATAATTGAATTAAAAGCCCGTTCAGCATGCCTAGAATGATAATACAAATTATACTTCATGTAAAATTCATGCAATTAGTTGCTGGTCTAACAAATTCATCCACGGGGTTTTGCTTCGACTAAACCGAGCGCGCTGCAAGTATATTATCATTTACATACACCGGGTCAAAACCTGCATGTTCGATCCTAGGTGAACGCAAACATTTTAACGTGTCGGTAAACATACGTTTAGCAGATACACGGGTGCGCCTCTAATAATAATAATAATCTAAAAAACTGTAAGAGTAACAAAGTGACCTACCGACAGGAAATAGCCTTTTTTACTTCTGCAGCCCTCATCTCTTCCAACCTCTCGCAGAAATAGTTACGGAATTATCCTGTCGAAATAGTTATGGAATGACATTAACCACTCACGCTCAGGGAAGGATTTTGTTCAGACCTGTCACGCGTTACGTGTTTATTCCAGACCCGCTGGGAATAAAGCCCCGCACGCTCGCTTCGGACAAGCGCTCTGCCCGAGCTGACCGCCCGGCTGGCGCTCCGGCGGGAGCCCCCCGCGCCCCGCCGCCGCAGCCGGGAGGC